CAGCCCTTGGCTCGTCCTCTTCATCCCCTGCCAGCATCTCCTCCACCATCTCTGGGGCTGAAGGCACCGCTCTTTCTTCCCCTCCCCCATGGCCTCTAGCTGTCTCTTCCCTCATTGCTAACTTACCTTCCAAGAGCATGACCTATCTTCTCAATAACCATCTCCCTTTCTTAAGGGCATCCCAAATGTCATCACCCAACTCCTCCAAGATATGCTGAAGTATGTCTCTCTCTTGCCAAAGTCTCTCTCTCCTCAATAACCCCCTCTCTCTCCTTGACAACCCTTTCCACTGTCTCAAGAAAAAGACATTCCACAATCCCGACTGCTACACAGCCACTCAGAGCTTCTAAGAAGTCTTCTATCTCACAGAGGGTAATTCCACAGCTCCCAGTGTCTCCACCCTTCCCCAGTTCTGGGGAAGGCCCCATCCCTCTAGGAGGTGCTTTATCCTAGACCAATTCCCCACTAGGGGCTCCCCAGTTGGAAGCCCCACAGGGCTGCACCCTCTACAGCTGCAATCACTGGGGCCTCTCCCCACCATCTCTAGCGGCATCCCATCCAAGGATTGCACCCATGTAGACAGATTTCAGGTTCAAAAATCCTGCCGACTACTTCCAGATGTAACTCCAGGGGAAAATCCTGGGGAAAAATACTTCTGAAACCAAAATCTGTAAAAGGGAGAAATAAAGTGGGAGAAACCTGTTTATTGCTCACCAGCAGCCATCCACGTCTGCTCTCTGATCCAGATATGCCCTTGCATGCCCTTGTAATTACCTATTGATATGGAGATGGACTACTTCTCTTCACCCCTTGGAAACATCTATTGATATAGAGATGCACTAAGGCCAAGTGAGAGATTCTGGAAATATTGCAATTTTACCCACTAGTGATTTCACTTAGTCCACAACCTGGCAGATAGTGGGTTCACACCAACTGCTAGTCTTAGCAAGACCCAAAAAATTGTATCATCCAGTCAAGTACTACAGAAAGCCTGGTTATGACCAAAGCTAAATCTTCTCAGATTCCCCGGCTTCCCAAAACCTTCTGTTGCCAGTAGCAAAAGACTGACGCCCACTGGCCCATCTCCTCCAAGATAGTTTCACCAAAACCAGAACCTTACTTTCAGCGCTTACTTACTTCTAAGGCCATCTTTTAAAATTAATATCCTAATCATCATTTCTCAACTATTTGTTTCATTTAGAGAGATGATTCACTTTCTTATTAGAGTGTGGAAATTTACTCTGACACTCATTTGCTTTTTTCACTAAAATTTCTAGACATAATCACAAATAATACTATCCCTTGCCCAATTAAAGTTCCTGTTCCCTATTCAGCCTCTCACTATGGACAGGAACCACGTCAGCTGTGGTCTATGTATACCTCTAGCATGAAGCCCATACAGGAGGCACTCCATGAATCTTGAATGGTTAAAATAATTAATTTTATAAACCAACAAATCTTAATATGAAAAGTTTTTTATTAATAATAAATTATCTTTATAGACTCAAGTTATAAATAAGACTATACTATTTAAGAGGATAGAAAAATGACTTCCTGCCAAAATAGTCATGAAAAGCTTTGTGGAGAAGATGTGTGACTAGAATCTTTAAGGATGAGGGGACTTTATGTATGTGGCATTAGAAGGAACCAATGATACAGAACAGCATAAGCAAAGCCCTGAAGTCAGGAATGCATGAAAGAGAATCATAGTAAATAAAGTTGGAACAGTGAATTGTAGGTCAAATTGGGAAAGAACTTTTAATATTTTTTTCCTGTAAGTAATGAGGAAGTATTAGATTTTGAGAAAGGGATGGATATTTTCAGAACTGTTTTTCAGGAAAATTAGTTTTGGCAGTAATGCTTGAGACTGATTAAAGTGGAGAACAATAAGAAGCATAAAAAATAAGTATGAGAAAACTTGTTCCCAGGCCTCTGTTTAATATTATTTTTTATACAGATGCTATAGTTATTGTGCTATATTGACATATTTATCTGTCAGACTGGAGAAAGCAGACGTTCTCAGTATAAGAACTGTGTTTTTGTGTTTCATGTATTTATTTCCTTTCTGTTTAATGTTTTTTAAAGTCTTTGGAAATTCATCCTGTGTCGATGTACAAGAGTTTTGCCCACTCTTCCAATAAAACTAGTGGTGGTGGGAATGTCAATCAAAGAACAGAGAATTGAGTCTTAGTGTAGCTGGGTGGTTCTCAAGCTTAACTTCACATTTGAATCATACCTAGAGAGGTTTTTAAAGCCCTCAATGTCCCCAGCCACACCCCAGATCAATTAAATTGGACTCTCCAATAGTAGAACTCAGGCATCAGTGTTTCCCAAACTCTCTGGCAATTCCAATAGCAACCAAGGTCTAGAGTCTTAGTCCAGAATCTCCCTTCTCCCCTGGAAAGTTTCCATCCAGAGATAAACTTCAGAGGTCTCCTTTTTCTTTATAAATGCCATGTGGTTTTTCTTATGGCTGAAAGTATGCTACTTCCATGAGAGAAGAAATGAGGATGTGAATGAAGAAGGTAACAGCGGTAGGAATGAGAGAAAATGCTACGGGTGCTCTCACAGAGGAAGAATCCCTAGAAAGAGTTAAATTCTAAGGGTTGAATCAAACGGCATTGAGCATTAGAGCCTGCATACTGGGTTTAGCAGGGAAGTATTAATAAAAGAGGGAACAGGATGATCAACAGGCTTTGTAGGGAAAAGATGAACTCAGCATTGAAGAAATTGAGTTAGAGCTGTCAGCAGGACATGAGGTGGAGATGTCACACAGGAATTAGATATATACGGATGAAGTTTTGGGAAAAGGCCATGCTGGAGAAATAGATTCAGGAGTCAGCCACACTGAGGTTAGTGGAAGATGTGACACTGGGTGGGCAACTAAGGAGAAGGACCTAGAAACCAAGGACAATCACCCAGCCCCCAAAGGCCAAAGGTCATCCTTCTCTTTCTGTGGTTCTTAGTGCCTTCTGCTGTTTTGGAGCATTTCTCATATCACACTGACCTAATAATAAATTTACACTGTTTCCCAGCTCTATACTCAACTTTGTGAAGGGCAAGACCATGAGCAATTAATCTTCACATTCACGAGTGTTGAATCAACATCCAACAACATGGCTGGACAATGAAGATGTAAATGTGAATTAATAGAAACTATGTAGCCCCACGGCAGGAGCCACAGTCATGCGACATGGCGGCATCCTTGTGTTAGCATGACCTATCAGCACCTCGCCCCACATTCTAACCTACCAGCCATTACTCCAGCCTCCCAGGGGTCAGTGTGACAAATAACATTAAACCAGGGATTTATCCAGCACTTATTAGGCACCTGTTACTGTGCTAGGCAAAACAGGTAGTTTTAAAAAGACAGGGTTCTTGCCTTCAGGGAGCTTCTGATCAGACAAAGGAAAGAAGTCACCTCCTCTGTGAAGCCTCCCCTGATACTGCCAGGCAGACTGATGTACTTACTCTCTCCTTCACTTTCTTAGGGGTTTGCATGTATTAATACACTAGGTTAACACATTCTCCTCTGATCCTCTGATATATTTTGTTTCTTTATAGCAGACAGAACAATCCCCAAGAGAAAGAATTGCCTTATTCATCTTTCTAGCCCAATGTCTAATAAATCCACACTGAACTGCCTTTGTTTCTCAAAATGCTGCTATTTCTTCTGCTTCTAGGTATTTGTGTATGCTATTCTTCTACCTAAAATGTTAATCCCCAATTTCATCTGGTGATAGTCTAAAAATTTTTAGCTTAAGTGTCATTTCCTCCAGGAAACCTTCCCAGACCCCAGGTTAATGCTGGGTTATGTGGACCTCCAAAATGATCCCTGGCTCATAGTACTTGCCTATGCCAACCATATTATCATGGCTTGAATGTTTATACAGCCTCCCCACCCTTTCACATGGTATTATGAACTTCTTTAAGATGAAGATTATGTCTTACATTGTGTCCCCAGAGCCTAAATTTAATACTTGTAATAGATCAAATTCCTATTAGAAGTTGAATGAAAGAGTGTATGAACAAATAAAGGAAACAATGAGGTAGGCATTCAATATCTTACTTAATGAACTGAATGTTTACATATATAAAAATTTAAAGATATAACTAGAGAAGAACATATGGTCATTTGTATGTGAATGGTGGCTATACTATAGGTACAACAGGAGTCCAGAAATAGGGCTGGTCAATGAAGAGCAATTGTAACCAATTGTACATGCATTCCAAATGGCCTCAATTGTTGCTAATAATAATTTAATCTATCTTCTATACTTTTAACATATTTCACTGTGATCACAATTAACAATATTATTCTTTCCTGAGGCAACACTTAATGAGACTAATGATCAAATCCTTGAGAGATCAATAAATAGTTATAAGTTAACAAGGTTTTAGAAATTATAAGCTGATTTTTAAAAATATAATGAGCCTGGAAGGTGCACACAGTTCTTATAAATGCTCTTGTGAATTCCATTAAGTTCAAAATATGTGATGTATTAATAATACATGTTATAGGTGCTCTGTTTAATTTCAAAATGCTAAGCAAATAAATTCTCAAAAATAAATACAATTTTATCCAGTCATTACCCATCTTGCACTTACCATTGTCAAACTATGGATCAATAATCATAGTATTAATGTGTCAACTAGAAACTTCCTTGTCCATTGCTTCAAGGTCATCTGGAAAACACAGCAGATTGAACCTTGCCTGACCACACATAACTGTGAGGTGGATGGATGGATGGATGGATGGATTGATGGATGGATGGATGGATGGATGGTTACATAGAGGAGAGAAACCTCTCATTAATAACTCCTATGAGTGAGATAATTACCATATGCTTTAGGCATATAAGCTAATTTACTGTCCACTACCATGCCAGATAAATGAATATTGTTATTCACTTGCCATTGATTAGAATAGTGAGCTAGGAAAAAATTAATTTACTAAAGATCGCTAAACAAGGAAGAAGCTGAACCAGGCTTGAACTCACAATTATCTGACGCCAGAATTTTGGAATATTCTGTGCTGCGGTGCTGCGATGTCTTTCAAGACCAAAAATCAATTGTTGTTGGGATCCGCTCACATTCCCTTACCCTGAACCCTGCTGTCCTTATCAAACAAGTGATAGGGCTGCAGGCCCGCCCAGGTCCTGAAACCTCCAATCTGGTCTCACCATTAATCTTTAACCAGCTGAACCAAACAACCTCAGATGGGCTGATGACCCGCTCTGTCAAATGACCATGTAAGGGATGACATATCCAAATAATAACTGTCTATGGGGAGAGACTGCTGCTGACCCACTCTTGTCACCAATGAGTTGAGTTAATGTGAAGGTTGAATCCATGCGATTCAGGTTCCTACCCGAGGCAGTGACTCAGTGGATTCTCCAACTCAGGGCTTAAAAAGCCTAACTGAAGGGTTGACTAAGAGAAATCACCACCTCCTCTCACACACATACACACACACACACACACACTTATATACATAATGCTTACACATACATTATATACATAAGTATATCCATATATACACATATTATGTAAAATTGTATGAAGTTTTACATAAATTAAAACCCCAATACTTACATGCATATAATTATACTTCAAATACACACCTGGACATTGCATGTATTAAGGACAAAGACTTTAAGTTGTTTGTTTATTTGGTATCTGTGGAGTCTGGCATAAAGTCAGTGCTAAAGAACAGCCATTAAATGAGTAAATGAAGTCTGCCATAGCCTTACCTCTCTCAGCCCTTCTCACTTGGCATTGCTAAAAACTTCAGCAAGAAATTGCTGAGATCATTCCTTTTTGTCTTTATTCTGGGTCCCCTTCCCCTTCTGCTGTTCCCTGATTCTGTGTTCCTCCTTTGATTGGTTTCTTTGCCACACCAGGCTCAGCCTGTGTCCACAGATGAAGCATCACTTCCTCCCATGAGAGCTTATTGCAAGACTCCTCAGGCTGCCTGTCTGTAACCATATTGCTTAAAACTGTGCATTCAGTCACTAAGCTCAAAGATCATTTGCCTTAAACTAAACAGACTTTATTTTTGTTGTTCCAGTTCTTACTATTTTGAATTACTCAGCACCCTGGCCTGCGCTACTCTGACAGGTGCCCGGGATATTATCGTCCTCCAGTGCTAACAGGTGCTGCCAGTACTTTCTGCATAACAGCTCTGCAGACTTGCTCTGAGTGTCAGTGAACCCACTTTGTGTAGCAAAAAGTGCACTAGACTTAGAGCAGGAAGTTTTAGTATAGATTCCAGGCTCTCCCCAATTTTTAACTGTGAGACCTTAATCAAATCACTTCACCCGTCTAATCTTTAGAAAAGAATTGTGGAATTAAAGAGGAAGGCATGTACAGACAGCCCAAACTCAGAATCTTATAAATATTATATACTCAGTAAATAGTCTGTTATTGTTGTTGTTTGCTTGAGCCTACAAAATAATATTTTGTACATTTCCATGGCTGTAGGCAGAATAAGAACAACTTCCAAACTTACGGTTACTTAGAAAATTCTCCTTTTGTGAGAAGACCTTCTCTCTAGAGTCCCTACATGTGTGCCACCTCAACAAGTCATCTCAGACACATGGCTGGAATTTAGAACAGTCACTTGCTCCCTTGCTAAGGTGTCTTCTTCAACTGTTACTTACTTATGTACTGCTTAAAACTATGCCAAAGAATACTCTGTGGATTACAGGGAGAAATGTCTTCAGTTAATAACAGCAGCAATCAATTTTTTTTCTATGACATTGAAATAGACAAGCTTTTTTTTCTTCTGGTGAAGCTAGTGCAACTGGTTGTAACTAGGCTGATGGGCTTGCTCTGCACAGACACAATCAGAAAATATTCTGAAAGGACTGGTGGAAAGAAGAGCATTGCCGGCAAGAGGGGCAGTGAGGAATGAGGGAGTCAGGGTGCTGTGTGAATCATGGACCCTTTGGTCATAGGTGTCACTTCCATTCTTGTGGCAAAATTGCTGAGAGTACAATTTTTTTTTGGCAAGAACTAAGTTAACAGAAAAATGCCAGTGGATATGTAACTTGCCAGTAAGTGAAACCTCTTTCTGCAGAGGAGGAGACTTGTCATTTTAGTGGAGAGAATTCTTTCTGGGAGGTTATTTTATATATGCAATAACACTCTGTTGCCATGAAATATTGGACACAGAGGAGGCCCATTTATTTTGAATCAGAAGAGCTGAATTCAGATGCCAACTTTACCACTTACCTGTTGCATCACTGGGTACAGTTCCTCAGTCTCACCGAGCCTCATGTCTATTGTCAATAAAATGGAGACGGCAATCGCTTCTTTGAAGTTGTTATAAGGATTACATGGAAACATTTTTGTTTCCATGGAACATATTTATCATTTTAGAAAATATCAGCCCTGTCCTCCAACCCTATACTTGTGTCAATACAATAAAAATCAGGAGACAAAGACAAATGGACTACATACTAGCAAAAGTTATGCCTCAAAGTTTCTGTGTTAAGCAGATGCTAAACACAGGACTTGTCTGAGGCTTAGTGCCCTCACCTGTGATCTGAGGCTAACAATAATCATCTCTTCTGTTCCTACTTCAAAGAGTAGTTTTAAGGCTCATATCAGATAATGATGCTTTGGAAAGAAATAAAGAGCTCCCTGTACTCTTATTTTCACTCCCATTTGGCAGTCCCTGGTAGGTATCGAGAAAGACCATGTAATCCAACCATCGTGGTTCATATTCATCTTTCTTATTTATGCTCTTGAAGTTTCTTAGCCCTGAGGTAACCTAACACAATTCATCAACCGAAGGGTATAACTTCAAGTGCAATGGACAGTTGACTTCTATGGATGTGTTTAGCTCTAAACAAGACCATTCTGGTTTGGACTGATGAGCAGATAATGAGGCAATCATGGGAAGAACATCCAAATGGCGCACTTAACACCCATCTCCTCAGCATGCCCGCGGGAAAGGCTGCTTCGTGATCACTATTCCTCAGATGGAAGGAGCGAGGTTCAGAAAGATTTACAGACCCCCTCAAGTCACAGAGTAGTTCAATCATTGCACTAAGAAAGTTGTTTGTTACAAAGCCTACGTTTGATCCCTAAAACACACTGCCCCTTGCTCCTGTGGGAGAAGAGAAATGGTATGAGCATCCAAGTGAAGCATGAAGGTGAGGGCTGCCTGCCAGGTGGGGAGAGAGGAGCAGAGGCTCAAGTACAGGCGCAGTCAGGGCAAGGAGCTCCTCTCTGAGGAATGCATGAGGCAGGGCATAAAACCAGCTAGGGGCAGAGCCACCTTTCATGGAGCTATGACTTGGTTGGTGTGTTCTATCTGTGTCCCTACAATGATTGTGTCTTGCTTGGTGACAGTTTCATGACCTATTCTAGAACTTTGTGGAGACCCATGGAGCCACCACCTGCCCCATTTCACAGACAAGTTATTACCATTAGAGAAATAAAATATACAAACCGTGCAGCTGGAGTGTTGGGAGAGTGGAAAGAGCATGAGTTCTCTGAAGAGTCCCTTTCAAACCACTCCTTTTGACAGATTTTGACTATGCAAATGGAAGTCCTGCAAGGTAAAGAGATGCACAATTCAGGCTTACTTTGTCATTATGGCTTGTAAACCAAATATCTCCAGGCTACATTAACCAATGGACTCAAATTTAAACCTAAATTTTGCTGCCTCCGTTGCGTTCATTTTGTTAAGTTCATGACATTATCACTACCTTCAGGGGTCCCTCTCCCTTGAGTTTTGGCTCCCTGGGAGTTCCTAAGATGGACTTCCAGCTGTCTAATTCTTCTGGGGAGGCCATTCTCAATGATCACCTCAGGCCTCCATGCTCCATGTACACACGGCCCTGCTGCTTCCTATCAGACAACGCTGCTCACCCTCTGCTCCAGGCTGCGGGCTCATTTTCCTTCTCTTTTCACATTTATGTTCTCCTTTTCAAAAGGGATCCCACCGCAGCATTGCTCAGACTCTGAGCGTGATTTGCCACCAGCGTCTTAAACAGTATAGTCACGGCACAGAAGCCAGCACCAAGGCCCACTCCCCTGCAGCCTTGGGTGGAGTTCCTAAATCCCGCTTACTGGGCTTTGCTACTTACGTATAAGAGGCCTTCCTCCAGGAAACCAATAGTTTGTCTTTGAGATTTAGTTTCTTTTGCATTTCCCAGTTACCCTCTCTTCATGACTCTCTGTGACTGAAGTCCAATATGCAAGTTAACAGAGTTCTTTCTCAGAGTGCTTCTGACACATGCTCAACTGGATTCTTAGGATAATCACCTGAAGCCACTTGCCGGACAACCATGTATAGAGCTCATCTCCATCCCACCTATAAACAATGGCAAGTCAAAAAGTTATCTATTTTATTTCAGGAAGCCGTTTGAAATAATAATATTTTTGATTTTCCTCAAAATTCATGACTCCCATGAATTATTCCCCATAACACAGTTCTTGCTAATCTTTTCCATCCTAACTTCTACAAACATTAAAGTCCAACAAACATTAGCAAGCACCTGTTTTATGACAATAACTATATTAGGCATCTTCATATATTCTTCCCCATCAAATATTCAGAATAATTCCATGTCATAGGCATTATTATTCACATATGCTGTTAAAGACCCTGATACTTAAGAGTTTAAGAAAATGTCCCAAAGTCATTCAGGTGGTAAGACTTTTGATCTTCATGATTCAAATCCAGTGATCTTCAAGGTCAGTCCAGTGGTTTCCATTTAATGAACATATTTAGAAATATTTGGTTTTGCATTTTTCTTTTTAATTTCTAGGGCCTTTTCTTATCAACATATTATAAAATACCAAAGGACACCTGATCCTTATGTTTGGCTGTATATTGGTGCAAAACAGATTACCCCGACACACTGTAGCTTAAAACAATAACCATTTCACTATAGCTTGTAGAGAAAGCCTGGCCTTCACCACAGGCTTACCTGCCTTGGACATTCCAGTATGGCAATCTGCAGAAGTCAGTCTTCCTACATTATATTTCAGGATTCCCAATGTTTCTAAGAGGCAGGAAGGAAAAGCTGCTAGTTTCACAAGCAGGCATATACCATCACGAACACCATAAGTTGTTTTCAAAGCAGTTACAGGGTCTGT